TGGCAATACCTTAGATCTGGAATAGAAGGGAGGGATGGCGGCCGAAGGCGACCGCCGGCCGGCGTCGCACCGCCACCGAGGAAGGCAATCGATTCAGAAGAGAGAGGCGTTGTCGGGCTTCTTTTTTTCGCGAGAGGAAGAAAGGAGAGAACGGTTGTATTCTAATGTTGCCATACACCTTACTTCACTAGATGAATATCTGGATAATTTAGGCACATCTTATTAGCACAAACAATATTAAATCAGGATGCATAATACAGACCTGCTCCATCTATATATATACATATATAAGGGAATAAAATGCGTATTATCGTTGATGGAGTCAACCTTCTATATACAACAAGTAAATCATATCATATTAATAAAAATATTAGTTATATTCACGTAATTAGAGAATATGATATATAGAAGGTTGACTCCATTATGGAGTCAACTGTAGGCTTCAAAACAACATATTTTTCAAATAAATTTCTCCAAATAGAAGTTTGAATATGATATGATTTACTTGTTATATATAGAAGGTTGAATCCATTATGGAGCCGACTGTTGGCTTCAGAACAACATATTTCAAATAGATTTCTCCAAATAGAAGTTTATTATACTATCTATCGCGCTTTAATTTTCAAATTGTAATTTAAATTATAAAAATGTTACATTACCAACCTAGTTTACAACTAGGTTGACAACTTTAATTTTCAAATTGTAATTTAATTTATAAAAATGTTACATTACCAACCTAGTTTATAACTAAGTTGACAACACATGTATACTAAGTTGGCAAAGTAACATTACTCTTTTAATTAACATATAAACGCGTAAGAAAGAACATTCTCGTAACTGATAAAATGGAATTATACGAGCAAGAAACATGATCTTCATGTCTATAAAGTATAAATTATGATCAAAGGGCAAAAACACAATTTCAAATCAGGTTCACTCGAATCCTTCCACAAAGCATCCATCTCCATCAAGTACAGCCAGAACAGATCCGATAAATAATAATACATGTTTTAGAATTACAAAATTCATTGAGCTCCACCAAATAATTAATTCCAGGAATGGCAATGTACTATAATAAGATGATGAAAAAATCCAATACCAGATATCACCTTCGTATGAGAAAAAAAAAAAAAAAAAAAAAAA